TAGAATCAATCATAGGGATTTAGGAATGTGCATAGGAATCTTAAATCCTTGTGTAATTTTTTATAAAAAAGTAATTATAAAGATTCAAAAAATTAGCATTTTTTTGTTAGAGTAAAATCATCATTTTTTCCAAAAATATTGCATTGTCATAAAATCCATTAGTATACAAGAGGGAATTACTTAAAGATTCAAAATATTTAGGATGATGACTTATTTTAATTGTATAAAAGTGTTTGACCATTGACAAATTTGGTTCTAATAAGTTTTTAATTATGCTTTATGCTCTTATTATTATAATTGAATGTTTCAAATTAATTTAAATTTCGTTTTTACATTAAGAATATTTTTTAATTAAAATTCAATTAATTTTGAAATGTTTTATATTTGAAAAGAATTTATAATAATCTCATTCATAATACAATACATCTATATCATGAACTCATGAAGTGTCTAGAGATCAGTTAATAAACAATTCTAATTCTTTAGAATTGTTCAAAAAATCTATTTTAATTTTGAAATTAATTTGCCCTTCATAGGACATTTGTATAATTACTCTTGAATATTTTTGATAAATTTGACCCAATTGTCATTGAACTAGAAAAGGAAAAATCCTGACTCTTTTCAGAAATATAGTTTGAATTAGGAGAATTTTTGTTTCAGATGAGGAATGAGCTCTGATATCGAACATATTATTTAAAACAGTTAGCGAAACTTTTCACTAATACTTCTTAATTATTGTATTAATTATTAATTTGGCTTCTTCTATTAAAAGGCACTTAAATAGAATTATTTATCAATTTAATTCCCTATAGACTATTTTTTTATAAGTTATTAATTATAGTTAAATTGTTAAGGAATCAAAAATAATTTTTGTTATAATTTCATGGTAAGGATTATAATACTTACTATTTTGTTTATTATATTTATTGTAAATCATAGACTAGTTTAGGAATAAATTATTCAATTTAAAGAGTCATCAATTTTTATGGCTTCTTGAATTATAACATTAGAAGCTTCTATCAATTGAAAAGTATTATAATGTTCATAGAATTGCATTAAATATATGAAATCATATAGATTATTTATATAATTAAGATGTAAAATTATCAATGTAGATTGTCTTAATGATTACTGTTTAATTTTATTTTAAATAATGGAGTAGGTTTCATTCGACAGATATTTTGAAATCATTTAAAGTCATTTAATTTTGAGATAAAATTTGAAATTTTAGACTCTTACTTCAACATTTTTCAAAATCAACATATTTTCAGCTTAATATACTAACAGGTTTGTTTTCTGACTATTATTATAATTAGAAGTGATTATAAATTCCTAATCTTTGAGTCTCAAAAGTTCAATCTATAAAACTTAATTTGATTCAAGTGAATGCTTAAGGTATTTATTTGTATAAATAAAATAGGAATATGTTGTGATATGTTTTAAAGTGTAATTTGATTCAAGAGGATAATCTAGTAATTATATTCCAGAAAAATATAATTAATACTTTCTTAATTCTAAAATTATAATAGACTTTTTGAGGTGAGGATATGAAAGTTTATTTTACAGAATTTAATGATTCTAATTTAATTCCTTATAAGGTTTTCATTTATGTTTTTTTTCTACAAAAAGACCATTACGATTAATTTCTTGAGTATTTGAAAACATTACTCATCTTCATACATAATTATTCTTATTAGATTTTATGCGTTGTTTTTAATTTATAGTAGTGATTTAGTTTAATTCTGATGTCTAGAAATTCAATTATTATCAAATGATCTCAAACTTATTCTAAATTTTACTTATTTTTCAACTGAATCATTTTGTCTAAATTCGTTTTAAATTGCTAATATGAGTACAAAAAATAAATTCCTCTATTCCTTCGCAAATGATTAATCATAAGATACCCCTAAAAAAATTGTTCACTAACAAATTTTCTCCTTAAAAATTTATAAATCGCACTTGAGATATTTAATCATTAAATGGATTTCAAAATAACTAATGTCTTTTATTTCATTGAGATTAATTCATAGTTCAATAGTCTTTGTATTATTAATATTATAGTTTATAAATTATAATACTCAAAATTTTCTATACTTACTTATTTATATATATATATGATATAATCTCAAGATAATGGATTTATAATTTGGTTAACATTATCTTACTCAATCGGAATTCAAATCAATAATTGTTAAACGTTTCTCAAATACTTTTCTGTAATCTTTATATTGGAATACTTCACAAATTAATAAATGATTTTTTAATCTATATCAGATTTGTATATTTCACTAAATTTGGTGTATCTAAGATCATGTTATTTAATTGTTTATAAAAAAATTTTATACTCTTTATTTTCATCACTACTTAATTTATGTAATGTTTAACATGCTTTCTTCAATTATTTTTGGAAATATTTTGATTTTATTTTTTTCTTAAATTCCTACATCAAGAGTATCATTTGCATTCAAGTTGTTTTTAGTAATAAACGTTTCGGCCTGTTAAATAAAAATATCAGATACGATCAAATTTTGTATTGCTCTCAATCCACATTTTTTCTATTTCATCAGTAAATATGAAACTTAGCCATCTAATATCATTTAAAATGATATTTGTTCAAGTCTGATATTCTTGCTCCTAATTCATAAAGGATATATATTCTATATGCTAAAATTTCGTTTTCTTATTTGCGCAAATCCACTAAATACTGATTTAAGACTATAATGTACTTTTTAGATATATCTTTATTGCCAGGATTAATGAGGATTTTTAATCTATTTTACGATTGCTTATTTTCGTAATTCTTGATATTATTTAGTGATTGAATCCGTCTGAGGAAGATTTAAATCTTTCCGTATTAATTATATTGCGTTTATTCTTGATAAACTAGGTTTCTTTATTTTTTAAATTTAGAATAGAAGTATAATTTACATAATTGAAAGCTGATTAATCAAAGATAGATATGATTAATTATTCAGTATCAATAAACCCTAGAGCCAATTACATTCAGTAGAAGCTTCACAATATGTTAAGAGATGACTAAGATCTGTA